CGAGAACCAGTAACAAGGTAACAGGAATCAGTTTGGAGGAAAAGCTTGTGTGGAATATCGCTCGGAAGAGTTGTGGTAGAAATGTCGTAGACAGTGCAAATAGAATGGGCTGTCTATCTGTTTGAAAAAAAAAAGAAAAGTCTCTTATTCATCCCACAATGAGGGAATTTAGAGTGTGAGTCTTTGCAATGCACACGGGCTGCCATGAGAGGTGCCATTGAGCATGTGGGTCCTCTGGGGCTTGAACGCAGCACCTCCTGTCTGTAAGGCAGACGCAATAGAGGGTGAGAAAAAATGCACGGCTCATTACAGAAGGCTGGAGTAATATATCTGTTAATTGTAGTCTTGATAACCAGGTAAAGGCAAAAAATGAATCCTCAGAAGAGACAAAATGGGGTTTCGACTGGTTCATACCGGGGAACAGAAAGGTGTCAGTTTTACTGATTTGAGACAGCCTTGGTAAGGCCTCCATCACAGGAGATGTATTGCAGATTAGCCTGACATGCTGCAAGGCTGTAGCCTACACAAGGTCAGTGGGTAGATTTATGTTTCCTCTTAAGCAGAATGAACAGTGCAGGACCTATCTAGGGTGTGGGGGAAATGAACCTTTTCATCACATTGATTTCCTAAAGCATCTGGAAAAAAAGCTTTGTCAGCTTCCGAGATTTGGGTCTGATTGTGACAGATCTGCTCACATTCCAGGCCCCGAGCTCCAAGTGGATTCTAATGGTATGGTTTTTCCGGCCATGTGCTGTTTGAGTAATAGATAAAACTTGTCTTTGGGTTATTCAAACCTTAGTACATCTCATTCCATCAATATGTCAGTGACCTGCACCACTGCTAGACTCACAAAAATGCATCACCGCAGTCTGTGCAGTTTTCTTTTCTCAGCCGCTCCTCGGACACTATCTTAAAATACTGCACGTGAGTTGGTATATTAGAAACTGACATTTGGGTTGAGCTGTGTGCAGATAGTAATGAGATATTATTAAGCAGATAAAATGAGCAGCAGCTTATTGGGTACTTTAAATGTCACTTGAAATTGTCAGTGCTCTGTGTTATATTTGGCCACAGTTTGGTTTTTAAAGTTATACCACACATCAGTTGGATGTCAGACGGTGTTAATGGCTTTTTTAAAGTTGGTATTTCAAGCCATAAACAGTTTCTCCGGCATTTTATATTCCAAGTTCCAAAGTAACTTAAACAGAAGTACTTCGACAATCTCAGAGGCAGAATGTTGGTATATATTTTCATCAGAACTCTCTGCAGACCTCTTCTTATATTATATCTGTTTGTTTATACTGCATCCACGTTGTGTAAGATTTTAGCCATCTCTTTCACCATCTCATCAACCACTGTTATGCTCCTACGGACAACTTGTGGAAGTTTAAATCATTTTCAGAATTAATAAAAAAAGCTTTCAATGCTAAAAAAAAGGCACCAAACTGATCAAATGTCATGGCCCTTGTTCTCCAGGATTCCCTGTTTCCAAGTAAATGCTAATTGTTCCTGACTCTCTTCTCATCTAATGCTTGTCCTCTGTTCCAACCTCTCTCTCGTGTGAATCCCAGGCTAAAACTGAGGTTCTTTCCCCTCTCTCCCCTGCTGTGACTGTCACTGTGACTGTGTTGCTGACGCTGTGGCCGACCTCTACTCCCCTTAAACTCCTCTAAAGGATTGATTTACATTCTCTACCTCCTGCTTCAGTGTTGTCTGGTTTTGACATCAAAGGTACAATCTGCATTTTCTGTTTTCTTCTCAGCTTCAATCTAGGGCAGTGGTGGCTTCGTGGTTAAGGAAGCTTGGGTCCGGAAGGCTTCAGGTTTGAATCCACCAGCTTCCAAGTTACCACTGAGGTGCTCTGAGCAAGGCACCGTCCGCACACACTGCTCCCCGGGCGCTTAAAGCTGCCCAGTGTTCACTTTGGTGATGGGTTAAAAACAGAGGTCACATTTGGTTGTGTGCTGTGTCACAATGACAAGTAGTAAAAAAGATAAATAAATCTAAACTGTGCACTTCTACTACTGAACATCCTGGATTCCCTGATGTGTGATATGGAAAAGGAGAAGTTAGCAGAGAATTCCTAGTTTGATTTGTACTTCTGTGACTGGGTTTCATGCTTGGATCCTTACATCTTTCGCAACAGACAGTCGATCAAGCCCAAATGATTTCATTCTCATCTGCTAATTGTATGGCACCGTGCTGTTGTGTTTTGCCATGACTGGTATGTCCTGGTAGATGTCCCGGTGTCCACAGCTTTGACCCTCATGCTGTCTCATCTGTTGAGTTCCTGAAGATTCTTTGCCTAAACTCCAAGACTTTCTGATGCGTCCATACATTCAAGCATTTGTTGTTTCTACCACTGCCTCTGGACATTTCCAGCATTTGTAGTGAGGATGCTTAACTACAAACAACATCAAGCAGCTTTGTTTCAGGATGTCATTTGCTACAGTGTCTCGGATCAAATCCTTGCATTGGGCCCCGTCGGCGAAGTGGCACAGCTTGTTATTAAAAATTTAATTGCTGCTTGAAGATTATTTGTATTTACGCTACTTTTTTTTATTTCGGGATAACAATGACTTTCTAAAAATAAAAGAAACACCCTGGAGCCTGCAGTATCTTTATAGCCCATCTTTAGTTTTTTTTCCCTTTTTTTAGCAAGTACGTTTGATTACACGATAATGATCGTGTTCTGGTGTAATTGAAGACGAAGAACAGCGTTGCTGATAATGACCTCCGTCTGCACAAATCTAATAACCATTTGAGGCAATCTAAATTACTTGTGTATTGCATGTCTGCCATGGATTTTTATCTGTGAAATCAAATAGTAAGGAAGGCAGTGATTAACAGCTTTCATACAAACACGTCACTGTTATCTGATTGGATTGAACTTAACATTGACCAAGTTAATTAAAACCCAATTTACACTTTTCATATTCATATCTCAGTCCTACAACCCAGTGGAGCTCAGTTTACCCTGGGGTGTAAAAACGTGGCTAACAAAGTATACAGATTTGACGTGTTTGAAAAAGACAGAATGGAACATAAAAGACAAAGTCTCTGATTTAAACCAGACGAAGTTGAACTGAATTTTATTCAAAATCGATGAACATGAAAGCAGAGTGAGAATGTAAAGGTATTTTCTTTTGTTGTAACAATAATTAACCAGGTTAACTCTGAGATGGCTCTCAAAACTGAGTTTCACAAATTGATCAAAAAAGTTTCTCAGCTAAGAAGAGCAAAGTACACACTTTTTATTGTAGTACTCCACTCTAATTAGTTTAAAAAGTGTTACTGAAATTGTGATATACTACACAAAAAATAATACTCATTATTATTACTACATATTATATTAAATGTATACAAGTGACACTGTTTAAAAACGAGTCATCAGAGAGAGCAGCTTCCAGCAGTTTTATTTGTTATTGTTCATATGAACGTGTGAGTAAGAAAATAAATAAAGAACCTAATTACCACCAGACTGTCAGAAATAAACAGTCCTGAATGTACTGTCAAAACAGTTGGAGAAAGTAGACCTCGTGGTAATAATATACTGCATTATTTTAGGACAAAAATAGAGCAATAATGCATCCATGATCTAAAGTCACTGTTAAATATACTCCATTAAAATATAAGTCCATTCATCTTTTCCCTTTACACCCAGTATCCAATTATCTAAATGATTTTTGCACTACAGTAGAAACCAGTGCACATGTGAGCTTCATACAGAAAGACCATCAGTTAGTACCAGGGACTAAACAGTGACAAATGGACTGAAGGTCATAAATTGTCCATCGCAGTAGGACAGCATAAAAGAAATGAAATACTGCATATTCTCATTAATGTTGAAAAGGCACAGAGAGAGGCGAGTTCACACTGTTACTCTGTTGGACGCTCTTATCACTTTCATCCATTTAGCTTTAATCCTCCTCTTCACCTTTTGTTCACTGCCTGTTGCATCTTTTCCTACCAGTATTCTTAATACAGATTAGAGTGTCGTCTGTAAACATAGTGATTCTGGCCTTACTCCTGTCTGACCTCCCATCTCCTTCGTTTCTCCTGTTGAATGAGCTTTTTCAATAGTTTGTATCCGTTGGTTCTACAGTGGCTGCCGTTCTGTCGTGTTTTCTAACGTCTTCTCACTTCTGAAACTTGGCATAGTTAATTTTTCACTCCACTCCACTGGTTTTTATCTTCTTCGCTTGGTATCATTTGAACTTATTCATCAGTAAGAGACTCTGTGTGTCTGTGTGACAGTTTGTATTTAACTTATATTTTTTATTTCCAGCTGTAGAAATCCCTTTCCTTTATTTCTGTTATTGTGACTAAATAGTCGTAACGTGTTCTTTCCTGCTGTATTGTACACTGTTTTGCACCAGCCTCACATACTCTTCTGCCACTACACACCTCCTCATTCAGTACCTCAGCTCCTCTCATGGCTCATTGTACATGTTATGTACTGAACCACAGAGACACAGTCCAGACCTCTCTATCTTTTGTATTTTCCATAATTGTACATCCAAATCATCTGAGATCTCCTCAGAAGGGCTGTGCTGAAAGATTAGCACATCAGTTATATGTTGATTATTAATAGCAAATTATTAAAATATACTCCTTCAGCCATTTACACCATTTTCTTTCCTGAAAAATATCGAATACATTTATCAAATATGATAGGGTTGGACCGTAAGCTTTTTTATGCTGGCACGCTTCAGTGCAGCTGCCGGAACCGTCTGTATCCCCACAGACTGTAAATAAACTGTCAGTACAGAATGCAAATGTAAGAAAAACATTTTAAACCGCAGGCCTCAGTGTGTACTCGGTGCATTTGTCAATTTGAAATAAATGAAGGCACAATGTATCCAGCCTTGTTCCATAAAGGTCATCTGAATTACACGTGCTTCTGTTACAAGTTAACTGCCAACGCCGCCTTCACTCCGTTTAATGAATATCCCGTCCTGTTTTTGTGGTAATTCTTTGCGTCCTTTTTCCTCACGCAGCTCTCAGAGACCACAGAATCGAGCTGGTGCGAGCCTCGTGGCAGGAGCTCACCATCAGAATCAGTGACATCAGCCTGTCAGACGAGGGCCAGTACACCTGCTCGCTCTTCACCATGCCTGTCAAGACCACCAAGGCTTTTCTTACTGTTCTGGGTGAGTAGGTTCACTTTGGCCCAGTCTCCACAGGCCAATTACCGGTGGCTAATTCGTCACATGCTGACAACATAATAACTCAGCCGTTTGAATTATAGCCCTGTTGCTTTCCCTCCCAAGTACTTGTTATTTTACAGAAAATATCAGGGTTACATAAGGTTTTTTCTTTTTCACTCTCTCAGCGCAGAGAAATATGTTCCATTTCTTATTCCATTCTTTTTATTTTTTATTTTAGTATCAACAATTGATCATTTCTTTTTAATAAAATGACCATTTTTCTTACAGCCTTAAACATTAAAATACAAAAAAATGATTTATGATTTATACGTCAAACAATCATTTACCCTAAGAAATTAAACACCTTATTTGTTTCAGTGACTTTGCATGAAAAGTGAGGATTCTTTTAAAAGCTGTATTTGAAAATCTTACTTTATTTCACTGTATATTGTGTAAAAGAACAGAACAGATAAAACAGCTATGATTTTTAAATTCTGCTGAGGTCTGCCCGCCCATTCTTCTCTGGGTAATCTGTAAATTTGATCTAGGATTTGATGGTCCTCTGCATGGACCCCGGAATTTAGTTCACTTAAGAGGATTTTCTACGGGATTTATTTCAGGGCTTTGTGCAGATTACTGCGTCTTCTGTAAACATCATGGTTCTGGTAGACTCCTGTGTGACTTCCCATTTCTCCTTCTTTTTTTTAATGATAAATTAAGGAATTAATTCAGGGCTTTGTGCATTCACTTTGTCTTCCTTGGGATAATTCTGTAGGAGTTTAAAAATATATGTCACTGTCATTCTGCAGGACTATGGCCTAGTTTTAAAACTTTGTTTTATTTTGAAATTTTTCTCTTTTTTTTTTTTTTTTGTTCTTTTAAGTTAGGTGAAAATGATTTATTAAGAGATTCAGACATAAAACCAGAGAATGTAAACAGTAAACAGGAAGTCGTCTTCCGTGTATATCATCGCATGACAACATATTTGTCAACTCTCTCATTTTGCCAACTAGTTTCCGTGCGAACTAGTTGGTGAGCAGAGCCAGTGTCGGAATAATGGAACAAGGTTTTCATAATAAATTCATGGGAGACGTAACCATGAAACCTCGTAGGTCAAGGACATCGTAAACTAAGGACTCACTGTAGTCTTTTACAATATTTCACCAAGACATTTCAAAGTGCCAACTTTTTGTGGGTTTAAAGGGATGCATTGCTCACTTTCACCTAAAAATCATGCCTGACAAAATTGTTTTTCATGTTCCTCCCACTACAAATTCAATGAATTCAAATTCATTTCAAGTGTTTTGTTGTTTTATTTATTTCACACTGGTTCCACCTCTTTAAAAAGGCAGATTTATTTCACTGTTTCTAATGATTCTCTCTTCTGTGCGCCGCAGGTGTACCAGGGAGGCCAGAGATCACAGGATTCACCAAACCTGCCATGGAGGGGGATGTTATCACCTTGACATGCACCACCACAGGGAGCAAGCCAGCCGCCAACATCCGGTGGTTTCGAAATGACAAGGAGGTCCAAGGTAAGCACGCCGTCTGGTCTGATCTGGTCTGGTCTGGGTCACACAGCCCTGTCTCTTCCTTTAACCAATGGCGTTTCTTGACATCATCACTGTCAAGTCATTCAGTCCAACGGCTCCAAACTTGTCCACGTCCATATTAAAGCACTGTCTCCACCAGCTGGGCTGCGACCACAGCACGATTCCTCTGGATCCCAGCCAATGTTTCTGCTGTTGTTGGAAGCCATCCAAATGTCTGTGGGCTGGACCACAGCCATCCACGTTTCATTACCTGACCAAGATGTATGACAGTGCCTTCCACTGCTACTGACTATATAATTTTACAGCAACGACCGATCTGTGAATTTACAGTGAGCAGAACCCTCAATCATGTCAGGCAGTGTTGAATGTGATTAGACAACAATATGACTATAATACAGTCAAGTAAAGGCTTATTATAAATGTCTCTTTACGAGTCTCCGGGGAACAGTCAACATCTGACTGTTGTTCTCTACGTTTAAGAAAATGAAGCAGCAACAGAAGAAAATAGTTGTTCTGATCGTAGAAGAAGCATCACAACAAACCGATTTCAACAACCTGTCTGTTGAATTTATGTTGTAAAAAAGTGCGAGGAAAGAATTTACGTCTTCCGTCATGAACCTGGCGGACCTGAAGAAATGGGAATATTGTACCGATTTTAAGATATTTTTTCTTGATTTTTTTTTTTTTATTCTGAAATTTTAGAAAAACAATAGATACTTGACTGGCCTGGCGTCAGTCTACTGGTAATGGCGTGCATTATGAAGACGAGAGTCAGACTGTGGTGACCAAGAGCAATTTTTTTAATATGTACTCAAGTGATCATTAACTGGTGGCCTGCGGGTCATATCCTGCCCACTGAATCGTCCAGTCCAGCCCTGAGACTGGATTGTGAGGATCAAAAACAAAATATTATGTTATTCCCAGTATTAAAGCAACTGGAAAAAAAAGAACAACTGAGACTTAAATAAGTATCAATAATTTTTACTTTTGTTAGACAAAAATGTGATTTTTTTTTTTTTTTTTTAATATCTGGTCTCACCAACAAATACGGTTCGTGTCCCTCTGACGTACAGAGGAGGTGGTGGTTGGTGGAAACACTGAATGTTTTTTCTCAGTCACAGCAAACAAATGCAAAGAGATCTGATTTTTTTTTTTCCCCTGAACTCTGAAGCAGCCGATTCTTTTTCTCTGCATCTACAGTCTGGCGCTCACTCACTCCTGTCCTCCGTCACTCCTGGATATCATCTGCTCTCTACAGTTTTTTATGGCTTATATCACTATCTTATCTCTGCTTTAACAATGAATCTAAAACATTAAAAAATACTACTGGGATGTTTTTCCCAAGCTGAATGCCGGTGGTTAAGCTGAGTGGAGCTCTTTAATGCAGCACAGCCTGCTGTGGAGACTCGGTGTGACAGTTGCTCTTTATTGAAGATTTGCACCAGAGAGCTTTTTCTTCTGGTTCTGTCTGTGTCTGCCAGCAGTAGCATCGTGATTGATGGGCCGGGGGCTGAGATATGAAGTTTTCTTGTTGGAATGACATGCACGTAGATCTGTGAAAGGCCAGCAGAGAGATGACACACAGCATCACAGCCACGCACGCTATCCATCTGAGGAAGCACCGCGTCAATCCACTGTCTACATGATGCACTAAGTGATACTTAGAGAAACTAAAACTGTTTGTTTTGTGGAGGGTGATTAGATAGGGGAAGATTTATTAAATACTGAGGCTAGGGTTGGGCTAGCTTTTATGCCCTTTGTTTTTTTATTTTTTATTTTTTTTTTTTATTCGCTCTTGTGCTGGATTGTAGGCTGAAGTTTAAAATAGACAGTAATTGCTATGTATTGGGTTAGAAAAATCACTGTATCAATATCAGTGTTGAATCAACATTTCATCATTAATATGGACTCTTTCTTAACCCCGCAAAGACTTGTATTGTGGGGGCTGTGTTTCTTACCATTATTGCAGCGATTGATTTTGATTAAAATTGTTTACGCTCACCTGGGGTTCTGCAGAACAAAGCAGAGACTGGAGGCTCAACTTAAAAACCTAATTTCCATGTCAAAGTGTCAAACAGCAGGCGTGTCAATCAGTGCTGCGGATCCACATCTTTTGTAGACGCTGCTTTAAAGTTTTCTTTGGAGCGAGAATATGCTGCAAGCAGCATGTTTTGCCACGGGTTCCACAGTGCAGTGGATCATTGCTGCCACCGTCTCCTGTCAGTCAAATCAGTCCCCAGTGGGGGAGCGGTCTACAGAGCTCCAAAGACAACAGCAGGTGTAATATCAAAAACATGTCATATTTATTTTACGCTCTGATGATTTATGTTCCAACAATTTGTATTGGAAGAACACGGCATTGCAATCCCGAAAATTCATCTGTCATCCGGCGTCGAGCTGTTTATTTGTGGCCTGCGTTGCTGCACAAATTTCTCATGTCGTTGAATGACAGCGAGACTTCGACTAGTAGCCTACAGGGACGGAAGAAACAACGCTCAGCCGGGGTAACATAAAATGGCACAAACAGTGTGTTTATCCTGGACATTCATGCAAAAATGGCAAAAATGGTATGTCCTTAAAAAAGGGTGAAGAATATAAGGTATACAAATATATACGCTAATATAGTAGTTTGACTGATGTGTTGCAAAGATGAATCTGAACTGAAATATAAATGTTCAGATTGATCAAACCTTTATCGACAAAACGGTGATGCATTAGCAACGTGTAACACAAATGTAGGAATGGATGTAAAAAAAATGAATAAAGAGCAAAATAATCCCATACAACATTTTAGATTAACAAAATAACCTACTACTGCGGTATACTGGGTACTACTAGGTTATTTTACCAGAGTAAAATATCAGTGTCGTTCTTCAGCTGTAGGTCACAACAGTCTGACAAATCTTTTCACCTTTTCCTTTTTTTCTTGTGAAGTGTAAACTTTTCCAAAGCCAGTGAAACATGTAGCAACAGTTCAAACCACTCTCTCTCTCTCTCTCTCTCTCCCTAACATCCACTCTCCTCTGGCATTTACTATTTTTTACTTTACTACATCTGTTGAAGCAGTGAGTAGAGTGTGAAGGATGTTTGGGAGTATGTACTCCACGGAATTATACGTTAGATCATTTATAGACTTACACCATCTGTTTGCCAAACAAGATGTGTGACGAGGACACGTGTATTTATTTTGACAATGCTGAACCTCATATACTGTAGTAGCAGTTTGACAACATATGCTGTATGTAAGTATTTACCGGTTTTTGTTTTACAAATGTACCCGGTAAGGGTTCTTCATAGTCAATAACTGGAGTAATCCATTTAGCTCAAACACCGTGATCACAGCCTAAATGTCTGTTGTTGTAATTGTTTTATTATCCTATTTTAAGGGCATTCATATCGTTACAGCAATTGACACTCGTCAATGTACTCTCATAGTGCAGTATTCCACTCTCACAGGTATATACAGTATACTCCAACCCTACTTTTAACATCTGATTGTTTGTCAAATTCTCAGAGGAGTTCTGAGGCTTCAGTGGAATCAATCAGAAACAATGATATTCGAGGGCTTTAGAGATTCATTAAAATTCAAAACTCTTTGCCCCAAACTCAAAAATACACATTCTTGTACCTGCTGCCTTGAATATGGTGAAAACAGTGCCCCCCACCCCCCACCCCCCTTAAATCTGCCCTTAGGAAACTGTCTGTGCAGCACCGTTGGCACAGCATGTAAGAGAAGTGCAGTGTTTCATGTTGGAGCTGGAGTCAGACAGAAGTCTTTTTACAAACTGAAGAATCCAGTCCTGCTGACCGTTGTTTAAAGTAGGAAAAGAAACATAATTCAACCAAAAATAACATCTCATAACTATCACATCAGTTTACATGAACAGACACAACAGGGCGGGCTGGATGCAGCCTTAGGGTGCACTGACATCGGGGCCATTGTACCTGGATGTAGCCTTCGGGTGCACTGACATCGGGGCCATTGTACCGTACCCAACCACATTAATGACCTAAAGTCAGGATTTACCATTCATTAGGATTGCTGTCAATCTTTGGGTCACGTCAAGGTCATCTGACTGAACCCAAAGGTCATGTCCATTTTATTATTAGTTTGTTTTTTAGGTAATAGCTGAATTAGCAACAGACCACATGGTCCTCATCGATCATTATTGGCTCAATTAAACACTCATTGGTGATCAATGACACGTCTGTCAAATGAACAAACTTTTTTTCTAATTTCCACACTTCCAGTAAAGTATTCCATTACATTTAATTGAGTGAATAAGCTAATTATGTAGCACTTTAAAGCACGTTGCATGACTAATTCAAAGATTGTAGCTTTTAACACTTTAATATGTTCAAATCACACTTCAAGTTTTAGCGTTAGCGGTATGGACTCGTGATGAGTAATCTGATTTTTCAGTCTGACTGTATCACTAATCAAATTGATTCATGCCCAGCCCGACAACCTGCCACAGAACTGTAATAGACTGGTAATGCATTGTGGGTTGCATCTTGCTTGGTTACTGTCATGGTCATGGTATTTTCCGATTATATGCCAATTTTCATTTTCTGTGTTTCTCAGATGACCATAGACTGGGTCACTCTGACACTGTGACTCACTGCATGTGGCCCACTCTGTGGATCACCACTTTAGTAGGCTGGTTTTAATGGGTTTTTGTGCTTGATGATAGATATGGTTAAATCTACAGTGGATACTGCTGACGTTGATGTTAATGGTCTGTGAATGGAATTTCCATATCAATGCAATGTTATTAAATGTGTGTATCAATAGTATACAGATAGTGTAGTATACAGATATTGGATGTGCTGCAGCACTGTGTCCCAGTGGCTGCCTATGTGCACCGCACGGCCCGGTGTACTGTCCTCGTACTGTGTAATAGGTCCTGCTGTTGAAAATCCCTGTAAAACTTCTGTCGTCCTCGTCTTTTTACCTTGTTGTTCCTCAGCTGCAGCTCCCTCGGTTAGCTGTTTACACGGAACAGTGCCTGGAAAAAAAGAGAAAGAAACAAAAACAAACCTTAGAGATTCAAGCTGTGAATAAAAGTTCAGAGACTAAATGAAAATGAAAATTACACAGCAGGGAAAACAAAACAAAGGGTTGAAGATATAAAGGTGGGATAAGTAGAGTGTACGTTTGCGGTTGGCACGAGGACAAAGTACAGCAAAGAAAAGTCAGAGTCGACTCGACTGTTGGAGGAGTGTATGTCTGTTTATGTTGACGTGGATGTTTGAGCGATGGTCCTGGAGGAGCAAACACACCCAACCAACCGAGTCAAGGCTTACACTGCTCTCCCCTCTCGATTCACACTTTCTTTGACTTGACTTTCAAAGGCCGAGAATTCCATCCCTCAGTAGAGACGACGAGAAAAACAACAACAGCAGCTGCAGCTGTCTCTGTCAGAAAAGCACCGTGTTGGAACAAAATCTAACGTTTCTCAACTTTGACTTAATAGAGTCCAGAAGATACGTAGGTCCAGAGGATACATAGGTGGGTAGGTAGGTTTGGTGGTTAGTAGTTAGGCTGCTCACTAGGTTGAGTATAGTTTAATCCGTTCCACAACAGAATATAAATTAAATACTAAATATACAAAAAAAAAAAACAGCAAATATCATGCTATAAATATACAAAAAAACCCAACAAATATCATGCTTAATGTAGTGCTGTCAAACTCATTTTGGTTAGAAAAAAAAAGTCCATCTTTTTCCCCTTTTTCAAAATTCATCAAGCAGGCCGGATTGAAATGCCAAGCGTGTTGTTTTTGGCCTGCAGACGTGGCCTGGAGCCCTGGGCTGGGGTTAGGAAGTGAACATTTTTAAATATATGAGCTGAAAAATTGATTCAATGAGTGACCAGTAAAATTAGAGTCGAAACACCTGGATTTATACTAAAAGTCTTGAAAAAGGTGGAACTCTAACAGTCACATTGTTGTTTTAATATAAACTAAAATACATTATTCTTTTCTGATCTACACGTTAATGGTAGAATTTTTTTTTCTTCCACTTTCTCACCCTGTAGCTACTAAAGAAGTGAACGCTACAGGGAAATCCTTCACTGTGAGAAGTAGCCTACAGTTCCAGGTGGACAGACGGGACGATGGCATCGCCTACACCTGCAGCGTGGAGCATGTGTCGCTGCTAAACCCTTACATGACCACGGAGGTCCTGGAGGTCCACTGTGAGTGTCATGGTTACACCCCAGGAAACGAGGATCGCTTTTTGATTATGTTAGAGAAGAAACAACCTTATGAAGATTGAGATTATAATAATGACCATTTATGTCGGATTAGTGTGGGATTAGTGTCGGATTGGTGAGGGATTAATATCAAAATAGAGCAGGGGGCCGGCTAGTTGTTAAACTAGCAGTGTCATATCCTTAAATATTATGTGTGTGTTTTTTCTTTTCACAGATGCCCCTCATCTAGAGATCTCACACTCACTGATCGTGCCACAGGAAGGACAGTACTTTAAACTGGAGTGTGTTTCCATAGGGAATCCGATGTGAGTTGTGTAATCGTATTATTTTTCTACCATTGTGGGTCCTTTCTCTAAGGCAGGGGTGTCAAACTCAAATTCACAGTGAGCCAAAATTGAAAAATCGGACAAAGTTGGAGGCCAAACTCAATATTTATTGAGAAATTGACAGCAATAGTTTATATTTACCCTTCTCTCCTTTTTTTGTCAATATATGCCCTCCAAAAAAAAGTGAGAATCCTAATAATAAAAGTCAAGTTTATATTGTTTTTCACTTGGCAGAAAAATACAAAAGGAATAAATAGAAATCCTAGAGATTACTTGGGCTCCAAAAATGTTATCAACTGAATTTGTCTAAAATTATTATTGTAGTTTGGCAGATTATATTGAAAGGTAAATGTGTGTTTTTTGTGCTGTGTTTTTGTTTATATCAGTCCTGAACCAGTGTTGTGGTCCAAAGACGGAGGAGAGCTGCCAGACATCGAGCGAATGATCGTGGAGGGCAGAGAACTAACCATCACCATGTTAAACAAGACAGACAACGGCACATACCGCTGTGAGGCCAGCAACCCACTGGGGACCAGCAGTGCTGAATATGTACTCTTTGTATACGGTAGGTGTACTTCACAGTACTTCACTGTACTTCACTGACTCCCAGTCCTCTGACAGATGATCACTTCTGTGGTATCTGGGCTCTGAGTGGCTCGACTTGGATGAATTCATCCAGGAAATCCTTAAGATCTTTAAGAAACCTCAGGTGAAGTCCTGGAGGTCTGGAAACCTTCACAGAAACAGAGGGACACCAGAGAGAGGACATACTGTAGCAGTTCTTTGTTTGTCTAGTTCAAGACAGGATTTACAGACCTTTAAAGTTTCTAATAAAATTAGGTAATAATATATATATATATATATATAAATTTAAAAAATATTATTATTATTGTTATTATTAGACAGCAGCTGTTTACTGGTTTGATTCAAGTACTCCTTGTATATGGTCAGTTGTTTTTTAATGGTAGGGTTTTCTTTATTTTCCATACGGAAAATACTTTGATTTTAAAAACCTAGGTGTTTAAAACCAAACATTTCCTTTCCAAAGCCAACTACTTTATATGTATTTCTACCTCCTTTTCAAACATTTTACAGCCAGAAGGGTTTCTGCATTATTTATCATCATATATTATTCAAATTCGTGAAGTATTTGCAGAGTATCAGTGCCAAGGAGCCGTTAAATCAGACGGAGACAAAGAAGGGCTGATAATTCTGTCAGCGCTCTCACAGTAAACACAGAAGGATCCCAGTTAGCAGGGAAGGACGGAGGACTGAGTGGAGGAGGCGTAGGATGTGAGAGAAAAACTGGTTTCACCGATGGTGGCAGTTCTTCTTCGGCACCATTGTGTCTGGAAAATTATTATCGAGGTCTCTCTGCATCATCTCTGTCTCTTAGCCTAATTTGCTAATGACGGGAACGCTGCGAAGCAATAAATGTTGTTTCGGCGCTCCAATTTATCAGCTCCTCCAGTTATGCTCGATGATACACTGGATTAAATAAAGTGAGGAAGCGCCATACATGATAATTAGTCTGTCTGGAGACGGAAACACATACTTAGTTTGGTTAAATACGTTTGAGTGGTGTCTGTGCGTGAAGCCTCCTACATTTTAACTTCTCATTCCATTCATTTTTATACTCCATCGCCTGTTCACCTCATATATTTGTTATATACATATTGTTAGGAAAATGTACACAATATTCAGTGTAAACACTAACAGGATTCCAAATAAACATGTAACTCCATCTCACATATGTTTGATAACCCGTACTTCGATGTTGTGAAATCACTGGGTCAGTAACCAACTCCCCCAGTTTGTCTGACTAAGGCGTCAGTACAGTTAGAGTATAACCTGGATGCCAGATTTAGCCAAGACACAGAAATGAGGCCCACGTATAGATGTGGGTCAGATCTGCTCTGCTCCAATCAAGGGCCAGACGAGGGCGACCTTTGGTTTATGTGTAGATGAGATTACACAGGGTTGGAGTTGTGTGATATGTGCAATAAAGCTGAATCAACATGCATGAGTTTATTTGAAAAAATACACAGCTCTACTTTAAATGATAAATGTGGCAGTGGTGGCTCAGTGGTTAAGGAAGCGGACTTGGGTCCGGAAGGCTTCAGGTTGGAGTCTGCTCCCCGGGTGATTAAAGCTGCCCACTTCACTTCACTTTGGTGATGGGTTGAGGTCAGAGGTCACATTTGGTTCTGTGCTGTGTCACAATGACAAGTAGTTCACTTTCACTTACTGTCCCATAACTGCATGAATGTTTATCCAATAATGTTAGTCTTAATAGTCGACCCCTCGTTGGCCTGGACGTCGTCCACTCATTCACAGCTTGACTTTTCACCTGCTTCAATTCACTGAGCTAAAGCTCTGGTTTTAACCCACTGCGGCAGCCATATTTTTTTTCCTCTTCCTTTCTTTCGCGTTGAGCTCATTCCCTGTGTGTATGTGTTGTTGTTTTTTTTTTCCATTAAGCAGACGTCATCGCCTTTGCACCTTCATCTGCAGCTCTCTAAGCCTCTGTTCTCCAACAGTCCCACATCAGGTGTAGGCAGTCACTGCTGTGTTTGCACGTAGCACACTCGCTCCAGTTTTTCAGAGCCCTTGTCTCAATGCTCCATGCACTCAACAGTGTGACACCACACAAACACACACACACACACACACACACGCACGCTGGATGATTGATGAGCCAACATCTCAGCTTTCAGACAGAAAATAATATTGTTTTCTGGATGAATTCGACATTCTCTTTAATTCTTTCTTTCTCTTCCCACACAGAGCACAGAGGCTTCAGTGCCAGCAGTTTACCACAGTCTCTGAGTTTAGTTTATACATGCTATGCTAGAGTTGAGCATATTAGAATGGGAAAAGAATGCATTTACAACACCAAACATAAACAACATACTGTATGTCCCACACCTTAAACATGAATAATAATAAATACAATATATTATAATATGATGTTTATATATGCATTTTAAAAAACAATTCATAGTATAATAGACTTGAACTTTTCTTTGTCAGGCAATATGAAAAATTAGATTTTTTTTTTTTTTACTGTAAATGAAGGCACTCCATTTTCAGTGTTTTATTTATTATTTTTTCCACACATCATTTCCTTCAGTAAATCACTCTTATATTATGGAAATCTAAGCTACTGTATGTTGCAGATACTTTTTCTTGTGTTGACTCTTTGTAAAAGCCACCTTTTTTCTTTTTTATTATTTGTATGAAAAGACATTGTCCTGCTGCAGGGGTTCATGGTGAAATCACCTTGATGCAAACACAGGTTCTCTAAAACTAGAACTGCACTCCTCTGTTCCATGTGTGTACTTTCCTAACTGGTTTGCTGTCATTCTGAATCATCGTACACTCTGTATATAAAATATTTCCAGTACTTCAAAGACAGAAGAAACAACTTTGATGCATTAAAATTCAATGCCTCATAAATATGCATTGTAAATAATCTCTATACTGGCTGCATTGTCTCATTACACATTTATATAACTTTACACATCCTAAATCAACACAACTGTATATAACTAATGTGAATAATTCAAAAATCAGAATCCAAATGTAGGAGAGAATCCTTTGAATATTAAGTTTGAGGATTTTTGCTGCATGTAAATCAAACTGAAGTCGGTCCAGCTCATGTGTTTTATTCATGTGGACCATATTATTTAAATAATGGATGTCTGTGTGTTCATTTATATTATAAAGGTATGTGAGTGAGGAACCGTCTGACATATCAATGAAGGAGCTTAAAAAGCTTCTAGATTATAGAACAGGAGTGCCAAACATATGGCCCGCAGGCCAAAACCAGCCCACTTAGGGTTTCAATCCGGCCTGCTTGATGACTTTTAAAAATAAAATAATACACAAATACTTTAGGTGAAACTATAATTCACTAAGTTCAACTAATGTAACTATTGTAATTTAATCATCTTTTTGTTATTTATAGGTAATTATGTTATGATTGTACTGGTCTGTTTACATTTAATTAGGCCGTATGCAGCCCCTCAACCAAAATGAGTTTGACATCCCTTTTCTCGAGGTTAACAAATCCACAGGTGGAAGCAACAGTATTGAAGTCTACTTATTTCAAAAGCAAACTAAATGATAGCTTATAACAGCTAACAGTTAACAGAAAGATATTTTTGATGGTGTTTCCACAGTAAAAGCTGAAGTTGAAACTACTTTTTCGACACTGTAACACTGTTTGTCACTTCATTATAGTCTATCGTCACTTCAACATCTTCAGAGATTAAAAAAAAAAAAATCAATGTTGATTTCACCTGTTTCCGCTGAACCCTGTAGACTGTTGTTTATCACACTGTTGTTCCCCCTCGTCTTCCTTTTTACTGCTGTCACTGTCTGCAACCATGGCAACAGCCAAAGACTTTCCAGGGCCCACAACAGGTAAATATCCCACCAGATGATCATTGCAAACCAGATTACCAGTCTGTGAACCTGGTCCTGGATCTGGGTCTACAAACATCCCTGCCTTTGCCAAGCATGAGCTCCATGGCAGCCATCACCATGCATCGATGATGTGGCATTCTCTCCCTACAGCTGTGTCGCAGACTTCATGTTACCACACAATGTGCTTTCGCCTTGGTTTCCTTCAGAACCATTATTCCATCATGTAAACTGGCTGGCGCTGCAGATGGAGATTAGATCCATGCCAGTGCGTGAATATTTGATTTGACAATATACACATGAAATATAACAACCAGTGATTCTATCCATGACAAAAACATAATACTTTTGAGCACGGCAGAAAACTTCTGTAATAAATCGTAAATATCACTGATATTGCTTTAAAATGTATATAAGTTACAAGTGATGATTTCTTGAAAATATCCATCTCTGTTGATTTTAATTTGGAAAAAGAAATATGTCTTTTGTGGTTAAAAAAATGCTTGAAAAACTTGAAACTTGTCTTTAAGAGAGACTTAAGCTTTAACAGGAGACAGGACCGAAGAAGAAGAACGCCACAATTTAGCCACAGCAGCTAAACATAATTAACGATAGCTTAAGGCGTGTTAGCAAATAGCTATAATTGCCTCAAAAGTTAAAGTAACAAAAAAAGTTAATTAAAAAGTCAATAAATGTCTAAAAATAAAACTAGAACAATACTTTTATCTGTATTGTGTTCCACACTTCAACTTTTGCGTACATCTTTGGGCGAAATGTGTTTTTACTGCCGTTAGCACAAAAATTTTTTTAAAAAAACCCTCTGCTCCTGTGTATAGACTGCAGTTCACTGTTCCTGTTCAGTGGATGGGTTAGGTAGACTGCAGCTCACTGTTCCTGTTCAGTGGATGGGTTAAGTTCAGAGGACACATTACAATATTTAGGGCTTTCTGTTTCCTCCTAAATATTGTGACATTAGCTTAGCAACAGCTAAAGGTTAGACTCAAAAAAGGTTTAACCTGTATTTCTTTTATATTTCATTTGTTTTTTAAACTTTGTCTGGGTCTAATTGTGAGCGCTGTGGTAGTTACAGTTCTGACCTATGGAAAGTCGTTGCATTTAAAGGAACATTAAGCTAAGAAATCTATTTGGATTTAAGTAAAGCGCTAGCAGTCATTCTCTCACCAGCTGTTCATCTTGTTGCGTTACTAAAGGCTGTGAGCGCAGCCAGTATCAGTTCAGTATTACATTTTTTTCCCCCTTAGCAAACAGACATAATTTAACAACTTGTAACAATATCCTCTGACAAACAAACCAAAGTCGAACTTGTACTGATTGGTTAAAACTGCCTGTGGGTCCCTGATAAAACTATTATGGTTCCACTCTGCATGGAATTAAGCTGCATGTTTTACATTTTCATCCCTTCTTTGAAATTTCATCGTTCTACCATTCGTCCTTGGAGGTTGCTGTAAATGGGGAGTTGCCTTCTGTTAACGGCGCTGTGTAACGAGGTTTGCACGAACATCCCCGTCGTCATTCCGCAGGGTCACTTTGCAAAAGTGAGCACGAGTTATAGCCATTCATCAGCTTGAGATAATGAGAGCACTGTAAAGACACAACCGCTTTAGGGGTTATTACACAACTGACACGAAGGCATGGAGCTGCCTGGGGAACTTTCCGTTGCTCTCTGCATGGATGCCTCCTGTGAAATAACTCTGGTTCAAAAGACAGAAAAATACTCCGACAGCAGAAATTGACAACAAGAACACAACTGCGTGTGTTTGTGTATATGCTTAGGACAATTACCGTCTGTGTTACTGTGGAGTTTTAGGAGTATTTGTTTTGAGTGGAACCAAAGCCTAATCCTAATGAGGAACCCTCGGTTCTCAGGCTGTGGTATGAAATAGGATGAAGATGTGAATTGCAGAATCAGTAGGGCATTTACTGGCTTTAGTTAAGAGCACAATCTGGGCAAATTACATTTGGATTTTTGTAAACACCGCAGGCAGCCTCCTCTTGCTTCCATGCAGGGGGTGCTGTAAATGCAGTTTTAACAACCTGATCATTAAGTGAGTAGAACACTGTTATGTATAAATGTAATCTTGTAAGTTAATACAGTAACTGCCAAATGTATATATAACAGGGCTGCCAAAGGTAATATATATATATATATATATAACAAAAAACCGCCATCACATTTTTTAACTTGTGCACCCCCTAGTGGCAGCTCGTGCACCCCCTAGTGGCAGCTCGTACACCCTACTCTGGCAATCCGTGATATAGATTGATGTGTAGAGAAACATTAAGTCACTTCTCCAAAGTTTCATTAAATCAGCCTACTTTTTCTCTAATAGGATTATTAAGATTGATGAATAAATGTTGGCGATGAACTTCTTAGGCTGCTAACAAAGTAGTAGTAGCCTGAGCTGTGATTGGCTGTCTTTTCTTGGAGGGCAGAATTATGTTGTCAATTTAGAAGCACATCCATGTCCAATATCTATGTACAGTCTATGGATTTTAAAAATAGACGTTTGTCGGTGCCAATTTTTGTGAAGAGCAGCTTTAAAAATCAGTGTGTGGGCTTTGGAGTAAACATGAAAAACATCAACATCCCTCTGAGCCCGGACTTCTTTTCACTGCAGCACATTCCTGTTACCGTCACTTCTTTGAATTGCAGATGTTTGGTACTTTTCGTAAATGTCACTTCAGGGACCTTCCAGCAGTTATACCAGGTTGCTCTAAATCTGGCAGAGACTCATGTGATCCTGCTGTGCTTTGTTCACAAATGTAAGAGCTGCTTCTAAAATTGTGTATTTCTCTAGGATAATTGTGAAAGCAGAAATATTTGCACGGCTGTTTAATCATTGTTTACAGCTGCTAAATATTTGGCTGTTTAATCATTGTTTACAGCTGCTGGAAGATGAGACCACAGCAGCAGCAGCAGCAGCAGCAGCACGTGCTGCAGGTGCTGAGCTTCTCCTCACTTACCCTCCTCCTCTAACTCTCTGTGGCTCATTTCAGATCCTAATGCTCTGGGACAACACGGACCAGATCACGCTCTAATCGGAGGTGTCGTCGCCGTCGTGGTCTTCATCACCCTGTGTTTGATTATCGTTTTTGGACGATATCTAGCCAGACATAAAGGTAAAACAGGGCAGCTGTGCTTCCATCTGAATATAAAAGAACACGTCTGAAGTCAGTGCATGTGTATGAACACAAGTCTACAGTCATTGTAGTTTCTCTAGGTCTAACTCTGTGGTCACTAGTTCATTCATAGTCAATTACATCTAAATGTTCTATTTAATTGTTCATGACGAGCTCTCCCTTCTTACAGCTACTTATCGGACAACCCTGAAGAAGAACATTAAATCATTGAAGTAGATTTAAAAATGAATGATGGAGACCATACCAGTGCAGTCTCCTCTTTGGTGGTGATACTGTTAGATGTCTCTCCGACTCTTCTATCACTGCTGTTGTACTTAGCTGTGCATGTGTGCCTGTGTGTTCACAGGAACATATCTAACACATGAAGCCAAAGGAGCGGAGGACGCGCCAGACGCAGACACAGCCATCATCAACGCTGAGGGGAACCACTTGCATGCAGAGGAAAAGAAAGAGTATTTCATTTAGACTTCGTCTTGTTTATCGACAACATCTGCCAGAAGACATGCAATTTTCAGCTGCCTCAGCATCACTGTCTGTTTCACTTAGTGTTCCCTTGGAGTCTTTGGTCTGCTTAGATATGCTTGTTTTTAAAGCATACGCTCCTTTTGTATCCATTGTGTCCATTTTGGTTTTACAGTGCCTCGATGCCAGCCAGTACTTCAATGTGGCAATATGGCACTTGTGTGGCTACAAAGTGTGCTAACGGGGGTATTTACATCGGCTGGTATGTAGAGTCCATGTGGGTCCTGATGCAAATTGCCTGTATGTGGACAGAGCGCAGCGTTTAACCCATCTGTGCAGAGCAAAATACAAAACCACAATGCCCACTTTGTACCCATATAGTCTGAGTAAATCCATGTGGGACCCACATGGACCTGCAGGCTGGGCTGTACCTGTTGTTGTTTTACTCTGTTCTCTGTCATTGAGCGTATTTGCTCTTTCAGTTCAACAACTTTTGCTTTTTTTAAAAAAAAAGAAAAATATTTGAATACAAGAAGAATGTGCTTTAATTCACAACACAGTCAAAACTTCAGTTCAACCACTGGCTGTGTTGGCCCCATGGATTTCTCTGTCCCTTAATGTCTTTTTAAAGAATTCAATGGTTTGGAATGACGCCTGGAGTTTACCCCCCACCCACGGCCCCCTAACCACAGCCATACTGCACATTTGCAGTTATCACAAAGAGCAGACACTTCGACAAAAACAAAACATAGAAGCACAATCAATGGGATTGTCTCCACATCACATTCACTCCCTCCTCAGCTCCTTCTCCATGTTCCTGTATTGATTTGTTTTCAGTTTGTTCCTCATGTTGTTGGTTTGTACCAAACAGAGAACAAGTCAGAAAATTAAAGCACAAAGTCTAAGGACTAATAGAAGGGGAAACACATCAACTGTCTCAGGATTCAATATGAGTATGGATCATAGATCGTATGTAAGAGCTGCTCCCTTTGAATGACAGTCAATGGGAACTGCAGGCTTTGTCTCGCTCAAGTGATGCCATCAGCTAACATGTTCTAGAACGTTTTATGGTTGTAACGCTTAGTTTCAGGTCTTATATATTGAAATATATGATGTCAGCTGTGTAGGTTTGGACAACATTGAGAGAACATGACAAGATACAGTTAGTCTAGCTACTGAAGGTTTCCAATGACGATAACACCAAACATCAGAGAATATGGAGCTGTACTGGCCTGTCAATCACAGGGCCCTGGACCAGGGCAGAGTAAATTACATATTTTTAAATTTATTTTAATGGTTATTGCAAATTAACATTTTTTTTATTATTATAAAACGGGTGACCTCTGCTCAAGAAGGTCAAATTGATCATCTCTTCTCTGGGCTGTAACTAACCGTAGTGTGGCGCATCTGAGGACCTTACAGAAAGCTCTTGTTGGTGGTAGTTACAGCTGACAAAAGTGGTGATTACTAGAGCCGATACTGATCCGATACCCAAGCCCAAATGCTTACCTTATCTTTGCCGTAAACGGGAACACTATCGCCTCAGCAACAGCAGAATACTGCAGGAGAAAAGAAGGTATCGGATTGGTATCGGGAGATACTCCAAGTTGCAGTATCATACATTGAATAGTTATATTGAGCCATCCCTAGACAAAACCTGTATGAAGAATACAGTAAAGACATAACAGCATTTCTTTAAAAAAATCCTCTACTAGTCTGACTTAGAAGCCATTTGGAAATGTGGTTTGTCTGTAGTATTACTTCGTGTCAGCAGGCTCCAAAAACCTCTGGCTTCCATAAATATATTTATGGATAGATAGATTGACTTCTGCTTCTTCACATTTTGTGCGTTTGTCTTAAATAAATGTCTTGTTTACCAGGATACTAAAGTCCAAAACAGCCATGTTAAGGGTTTTCTGTTCCTCACTCGGTGTAGTTACTCAGCGAGCTACTAGTTACTCGTCGAAGAAAAGCCACCAAATCCACTGATTGGGTTGTTACTCATGTGTATTTCTGTCATCTCTTTTGAAAGTCTGATGAAAAAACACGGGTTCCTCTAACATTACAAAGGACTTGATGTTTGACCAAAGTGGAGGTTACCATGACAGCAAACCATGTTATTTTTTATTGTGTTCTGAATCTTAAATAGAAAAGAACTTAGAAAAGGGATCCAGTCCAACTGCTGAAAACTTTAAAATCTTTAAGAAAATACGTAGATTTAGACGTAGCCACATGTTCCAGTTTTCTACCATTCAAAATGAGAAATATCTGAAACCTGCGGAGCACTTTCATTCACTGTTCAAGGCTTTATGTTGCCGGCCTGGTTTATTAGGTGATAGGTACATCCATTTCTTAAATAGGGTCTATGGTCCAGAGGGGGCGGTGTTGTCAGATATATGATTTGTGTGTGTGTGTGTGTGTGTGTTTGGGATACAGTGTGATATCCAATCTGAATAAATGGAACTTCGAGGGAGTTCATTTTATTTATTTTAACTTTTATTGAACAACTATGCTCAGTGTGTGGATATTGCTGTAAAATACTTTGCCAACGTGACTAATGGTGAACACTATTGTTGAATCTTTAGATCCCTGGCACATTACAATTTGTATATTAGCATATACAGTAGCTAAATATTCCAGAAGTATTTTTTCCCATTTACAAACCTTCTGAGGAGTTTGTACACTTCCTGTTTCGATGTTTATGTCCGGCCTGTAACTTGGTAAGAAAAGACTTTTCACTTACAAAGTCTGTTCTGTTTGTTATACCCACTGACCAATGGCTTATATCTACACAGGGGGCGCTGAAGTCAATTGCAGCACTAATTAGGTGAGGGTGGGGTACACACAGACAGGGACAAACAACTATTCACACTTACATTCATACTTGTGGTCAGTTCAAATCCAGTCCACTTTTCCCAAAACTGTTTGAGTGCAAAGAAGTTAAATGTACACCTGCAGCTGATGTCAGATTATCCCTGGGTCACCTAGCAAAATGATTAGGATAGAAAACTCCATTAGAGTTCCACACAGAGACCCTTGGTGACAGTAGGGATAGAAGGTGAAACGGAGGTCAAAGGTCAATGATTACTGCTTTCATTCTCCTCTTCTTTATATGTCAGACGCTGTCAGTCGATGACAGATGTGCCAGTCAAACATCCTTTGTCAACAAAGCTAAGCAAAATCCAATGGGTTTATGGAAAAAAAAAACACCTAATGCCATAACTGCCGCTAACCTTTGAGTTCGTCTTACTTCTAATAGTGAAATAATAAAAGACTTAGGAGTTGTGTAAAAACCAGGAGACATTGTTATAAACCGACAATCTTCTAGTCAAGTTCCCAACAGAGCGATTCTTGTAAAGGCTGAGCCTTTACCTAATTTAGCCATTAAAATACTCTATAATTGACATTTTACAGTGTTATAGCGTAATTTGTTTTCGAATTAATTTTGATTATCAAATAGGTTTAACAGTTGAAAAGACTAAAAATAAAGTTGTGTAAATGTTCAAGTCTGTTGCCAAACTACAGGTTCAAGTTGTATTTCTATATAAGGAGGTGTACTAACTTCAAAAATGGAATTTGTATCCTACAGATGATTTGCCATAAAATGTGTAAATAGTGTGTAAGTATTCAATTCAATTCAATTCAATGTCAGGAAGAGACACTAATTCATCCATTCATCTATCGTCCATTGCTTAAACCTGTTGAGGGTTAATCTGTAATATTTATTTTGTGTTTGACACTTTGATGAAATAGTTTTACACTTTTGAAGATTTCTTCAAAACAGGGATTTTCTTGTTTAATTGCTTAAAATGTGAGAAAAAACTGATACAAAAAAATAAATGATCAGAATATGTGTATTTATTATGATTGACATTTATTATATAATAATATAATTGTTGATATAATTGCTGTTCTAACTGAAGTATTTGTCCGACATATACCTTTTTTCTTGTTTTTATTTGGAAACATGCCTCATAAAACTACACAAGGATCACCGTTATGGCCTTTGAGTTTGCTGCAAACATTTCCACTAACATGTCGAGCCACTGGTGAATCATCTCCTCATTGTAAATAAGGCCACTGTATTAAAGACATTCAGGCTCATCGCTAACGCTCATATTTGTTATTTTGTTCGGTCAATCTATACAACTCATTTTGTACAAAGTTTGAATTGCTGTACTCAATTTGCTTTTTATGGAGAATGTGTGAGATTTTCTTTATTTATCTCGGTATTGAGTATTCTCTTTTCAACTATGCCACTGTAAAAAAAAGAAAAGAAAAGAAAAAAGAGAGAAAAAAATGCAGATTAAAATATAAACAACTTGAAAAATGTCTTTCTTTGTTTTTTACCCAACACTTCCTTCTGTTATAAATAACGCACATAAATCAACACAGCAGGTAGACGTGTTAGTTTCACACCTGTTATTTATAGTGATTAATGAAAATGATAGAACAGTAATGTGGAAAACTGTCAAAAACAATATGTAAAACTATAACCAAAAGTTAGCTTTGAATTTTACATCATAGAGTTGCTGGATTTCAGCCATTACCGTGTTTCTTGAAGGTAGATAGATAGATACTGTAGATAGATAGCTATCTAGCAAGCTTACTAACTTACCAGCTCACTTGCTGTTTGTCTGTATAGATATTTATCTATATACATGTATTTATTCCAGAAAAACTAACTGGAGTTGTCCATATAGCACGACTATTTTTTTTTTTACTTGTACTTACGTCCTAGCTGCTGCTATTGTCATCAGACATGTTGGAGCAGCGTCTCTGTTAACAACATGGGGCTCCGCGTTGTGTTGAGCATTTCATGCTATCTGATCCATTGGCCTCTCTATAACTGTAGTCAATGTAAGGATGATTCTGACCCTGTGGTTCAGAATTAAAGCTGCTTCACTGAAAGACAATACTATAAAAAAGTCATTCTGTGTTGAAAAAACTGCCGGGTTTTTGTCTCCGGTTTGTACCTATGTATAATGTGTACACTAATGGTCAACACAGTTATCTCTGCATTGTATCTACTTTCCAAAAAAGATATAACTTTTAAAGTCCTCAACATTTAAAAGTGCATACAAAGTGTCTTAACTTTCTACGTCAAAGATTTAAAAAAAAATGTACAGCTCCACGGGAAGTCTGCCTGCAGCTCTGATAACATATGCATTTATACAGAGGGACAAACTGAAGACTCAGGTGTCTCTCTCTCTCTCTGTCTCTCTCGCTCTGTCTCTCAGTTCACTCTGCCTGAAGTGGCTTCATTAAAGATGTCATTCTGCCTGAAGTGGCTTCATTAAAGATGAAAACAAACTGCCCACAGATGTGAACACAGCAGGGTGCTGTTGCCTGATTTTTTACAAACAAGACACAGGACAGACGCCAGGTGAGGAATACTGGAGGCAAATCACTCCGTGCCACATGGGATGTGGCTGATTGTTTTAATTGGAAGATGAAACTTTAGTGATCCCTGTAGGGAAGTTAAGTAATTGTAAGAAGAAACAGTAAAGGAGCAAACATTCCCTTATCCCACAAGAGGTCTGTCTGTGAAGCAGAAGGCATTTGCTGGGGTATATAAGATGTAAAAAAATGCCATTTCCACATAAATAAAGAAAATCTAACAAACACTTCTGCAAAGAATGTTCAAGCTGTTTCCTTTCAAATGTAGACACTAAGGCCCAAGGTTAATCAAAGGTCTCAGGAATTCAACCTCCTACTGCTGCCAAAGTCTTGAGAAGTGCATGCTACAAAAGTAAACAAGTTCTGTTCTCACTACCGTCCATCATAACAGCGTTGGCATGGAGATGACGGCTAGTTATTACACATGCTGACCACAACAAAACACAAACAAATGAACAAAAACAGCAATTTAGCACTTGTTCAGCTCACGGTCTCCTCTGAAGGCTACTAGTCCAGGGAAACAAATTAAAAGTAGATTATCCTGAAGCAGTATCAGGACCTCAGATATGGGATTTAACTTGTACAAAATATTTGATTAAATATCACCAGAAATTTGGACCCAAAATGTGTTAAAGCAAAAATAATTTTACAAATACTCTAACCCTCGTGACCGTGTATGTGATGAAAAAAACAAGATAACGAATGAGGGAAATAAAAAAAACAATAAAATGCTAATTAAAATTTTGATTATGTGCTCTCTTTAGGGTCTAGGTCAACTCTATGGACATGAAGTGTAATGGCCTGTAGATATGCATTAACTTTGCAAACACTAAACATTATTTACCTTATTTGTATTTAATGAAAATAAATGTATGCTCCAGCATCTTCCACACAACTGAACCAATTAGGACACGCAATAAAAAGGACAGTTTTTATTGTCCATCATCTGCTTCAGTGACACAGATGAGGAGTGGCTTTCAGGACGGAATGTTCCGTAACAACCTGATGCCGAACGCTGAACTTCTATTAAAATATCTTAGAACGGATTAAGATCTCGTTCCGGGACATAGGGCCTGAATCATTCTGATCCTCCATTCCTCAGTTCCCCATGACCTTGAGCGTGACATACCTTCCCAGCAGACTAATGTTCCCATTATCAGCACTCTGTCCGGCTTAACCACCTGCCTCCTTCACACACTCTCCCCTCACACAAATGGCTCCCAATGTTCAATTCATTATCATTACAACCAAAAAAAAAAAGCCCGCCTGCTCAGATAAACATCAGCATCATGCTATTGGACTCCTTTGTGTTATTTAAAGCTCAGTGCTTCGTTAAGCTATGTAAATTGAGATAGACTGTCTTGAATAATGCCTGGCAGGAAATAATACTAAGAATCCATCATAATTTAGTAATTGGATATCAAGGACAGGGTGGGAAAGGAGGGTAATCGTGTGCCGTAGGAAGGTTGGAGTTTGGAAAATGGATTTTTTTTTACCCTGGAAATGTGAGAACAAACCTTGGGCAATGTAACAACCACAGCTCGACCTCTGAGGAGGACGTGTAAGTCCGAATGTATGACCTGGAGAAACTAATCCCCACTGTAACCTGTAGGCTGGGTTCAGATCAGGCCTCCAGCTTAGAACAGACTCTTATCTGGGCAGAGCAGGAGCTTCAGACCAAATCCTGGAAACAGAAATATAGATATCTTTAAACTAAATGGACTGAACATATATGCTGCTGTTTTTCCCCCGTCTCTTTCTACCCAAAGAGAAATGATACAAGAACAAGAAGTCAAGAGTTATTCTATGGTCACTGCCTGATCGGTGGTGCCAAACATTTCCTCTCAACTACCACGAATATATATATATATATATATATATATATGTCCTCCTACAGTGTGTGTCAGGGATCATTGGCAGTTTGTCTGTACACATAAAGTGTACAAATGTTTACAAACTGCACTGCAATATTACATGTCCAGTTGATGTGTGTAAAAAAGTCCGAGTGCAGATTAAATTATAGAAATAATTATTTGAAACAAGATATCGCAAATTAAATCAAACAGAATTTGTGTGGGAATGGTGCCACGATAAGTATCGTAATAGGGTTTCCTCCGATAATGAAAACCCGATAACACAATGCCTTTTGTCAAATGATGAGTGCCCTAAAAATAAAATGGGGAAAAATGGCTGTATGTGAAGTGAAAGCCACTAGATGGCAGCATTGCAGCTTATGTTATCTATTTTGATAATCAGGGGACTGTATGCAGAATACCAGTGTCAGCAACTTTGTACAGATGAATAAATATTAACAGGCGTTCAATGGTATTTCAATTTGGATGGACTTCTCTCCCCTGGGGGCCGGGGCTGATAATAATTGAGAATCACTGCTTTAACCCATCATCTTAGTGAACAGGTGGCACTGAACTTCCTGAAGCACCAGGCCACCACTGCCCCGCTTTGTCGGTATTGGGCGATATCAGAATCATAAGTTAAGTGTTTGGACATTACCGGCGTATCGGATATTGGCAAAATGTTGATGACATCCCTAAATAACACATTTGAGTTCATTTCTGTTTTCTACTGTATTTTCTGATCTATGTCTTTATGTTTTACTCAGTTTTGAAGCTGAATCACAAAGCTGCAAAACATAATCCTGAGATATGATCTGACTAATCATAGTTGATAGGATTCAACAGATCTTTCACATTTACACTTGTGACAGGACCAAGTGGAAGTCAGGGAGGAGTCAAATGATGTGGAACAAATAACGCAAGTCGGCGCGTCCCTCTGGATGCATCACACTGCCATTAGTCTGGATGAATGAGTACAGTCAGATGCAATTCCCTTGTCTGCTGCACGAGGGCTTCAGCGGCTTCGCGTTCAAATCAGGCCACATGCGAGTCCATGGATGGATGACTGAAACAGGGCTGCCCACTGTACTTTAAACACATTTATCCACACTGGCTCACATCCTCAGAGGTGCGTCTTTAAATAGACCGCCCTGGGATTAAGTGTCTGCTATTTGATTTATTCCGTATTGTATTTTTACATCTAATTAAAACAGACTTTGCCGTGTTGTTTGGCTGAGTTTTGAATCTCACAGACCCAGGAGAGTACATAAAGGGGAGCCTTGTCTTGGGAAGTCATTTGGGGGCGAAAAGCTTGTACCTGTGGCATAAGGTGTGCAGTAAATATCGTGCCATCTGTTCAGAATTGAGCACTTGCAATTCTTCCAAGGAACTCACAGGAGACTTAATTAAAGTTGGAGCATTAGTGAGTGAGAGACTGATGTTCCTCCAATAAAGCGATGGTTACACAGAGTCACAGGATGAGTTTGATGCCAGAGATGAAATTGTTTGAGGGTAAAAAGACAGTTCTGCGTTTCAATATTAAAGTCTTTTCCCCCCGAGATCTCGTAAGTATTCTTTGATGCTCTTTTAATTTTTGTTTTTGTACCTCTTAAATCTACTAAATGTCTGAGGGGAGATTTTTCAGTGAGGTTTTGTGAAGAAAGTTTAATGTTTTAGTAATTCCTGTAGGATGTTACCACAAAACATCTGTGGTTGTATTGTAAAATCACTATATATTGTTTTGTTTGTCCACTGACTTGCTATTTCTTCTCTTGTTACCCTTTTTCTTAAAAGTAGTTCGGGCATTTTACTCAGACAGGATCCAGTAGGTGGCAGCAAAAGAATGCATGGCTGCTTACCATTCCTGTCTACCTGTGTTAATCAGTTTCATCACACTCACCTGTGTCTCTGTCATCAGTCTCACTCGTGTCACCTGGTGGCCTGTGTGTATGTATATCTCTGTCCCTCACTCTGTCCTTTGGTTCATTGTGGTATGTCCCTTGACCGTGCCATGCTGTTGTTTATTAGTGTCCTGTCCGTCCCTTGTCCATGCGTCTTCGATGTTCCTGCCTGGTCTTTGAATGTAAGTTTTGAACAATGACTAAACTTTCTGAAACTGAGAATTGTCTCTCTGGTGCTGCACTGGAGAGACAATTACATGTTTTTGGATTTTGTTTAACTTCCCAACATTACCGTACTGTATAACGATTGGAATCATCAGCTGCTGTTGTCTATTGAAAACTGGCCTCTGAGCCAAAACCTTTTCAAAATCAACTTAAAACTATGGCTGGGGATTTAATTAACATTTTAATACAGGTTTATTTTACCCTCATGTTCTGCCCCTGTATGAATAACAGCCATTTAACAGTCAGAGGCAGATGTTTGAATATATTTAGTAAAATATAAAATAGTAATACATGGACTATAACTAACCCTATACTGTACCAAATGTAATGAAACATACTAAATGCATGCTAATTTGACTCCTTTCCACTTCCCTGTCTCAGTGTGTACTCTACAGTAGCTGTTTTTCTCTCTCCTCTTCTCCCACCTTCCACTTTCTCTCACTCTGTGCGTGTGAGTGTATGCGTTCTGTGTCTGTTACTCCTGCCACTCCTCCTCCTCCTCCTGCTCACAGTGAAAACTCACATAACATGCAGATTAAGCAGAGAAACTGAAGGGAAAAAGCAGCTCCTCCTCCGTCTCTTAGACAGGTGGCGGCTCCAAATTTTCACGGCTCTCAGAGCCGTCCACAGACACATGAGCAACTTAATGACGCTATCAGGGTTTTTTGTTTGTTTTGTTTTTCCAAGACTAAATGAGATACAGCACAGTTTAAATGAACTCAGTGGTTCCTCATTGTTTTTGATGTGGATTTTTTCCACACAATAAAGATGGAAGAATAAACATTTCTTTCATAAAATGTAAAATAAAAAGCTGACATTTTCGTTAATAAATAAATGCCAGTCACGTACACGAGGGTTTTTTTTTTTTTTTGGGGGGGGGGGGGGGGGGGGCCGCTTTGGGATGTGATGGAGGCTGACACGCGTTAAGAATAAACATTTCAAAGTTTGAAAACCGCTGGCCTAAATCTAGTAGCACCAGATAAAAGAATCCATTTTTTTGCACAAAACCTGGTTGGAAATGAAACACAGTCGGAAATGTTCTTGTTCTTTATCAAAGCACTTTTGAAATATTTTGAAATAGAATTTCATATTTTTGTTCCACTGTGTGAAGACACGTCGTTATATCTCCTATTTCTGAAATGGGTAAAGCCAATGGTAAAGCCATGACTCCCACACTTGAAGAGCAGCAGTGCTGCACTTGTCTTTATAATGCCAGTCAGTGTGATGGTGAGCCTCAGGGATTACCCCAGACAGACAGCTCTGGGAAGACAACTGATTAAACAGTGGCAAGAAGAGAGAAAATATTTAATTCAGCCATATTTAGTATTCATGGGATGGACAGCCATATAATGGTTCACCTTGAGGGGGGTCATCAGTGGAGAAGGTCCAGAATCTCAAAG